GAGCTCCTGGAAAGTTGAGCCAGTGAATATAGATAGCATGGTACAGCACGGCAAGGGCTTCACCAGCTTTGCAGATGAACTGTGTGAATGTGGAGTTAGCATAGCGGGATATTGAATGAAATCAGTCTTGCCAAGCGGGCCAATATGGCTAGACTGCATCTGCGTATAAATATAAACCCAAGCACTGCTATGCCCTATGGATTTCCCAATTTAATCTCTACTCACCTCAGTATCACTGGCTCTGTGCTCCGTTTTACACCACACACATTTCTGGGAACAAAAAGTAAGCCTGCACTTGTGAAGAGACCAACACTTCTAAATACGCGTGGGACATCCTCTGAGATTACCTACCAGATCCAACTGTTCCAACGACTCAGATACAGAAATGCCTCAATTATAAAAAGACATAGGTGTGAACTCTACACTGGCCTGCTTAACCCTGACGATACTCAGACAGATCTTAGCATGCATAGATGCAGCTCGACGTGCCTGGGAAACTTTAAAGCTGTAACAGGGATGCAACTGCAATGAGGAGAGAGTTGCAGCATGCAATTGCGGATTTGGAAACCAGCTAAAGCTTCAAGTGCAGAAGTCATCTTGTGCACTTAGCTTTAGTCTCTGACCTGGTAGCGAGAGATCAGGCTTCAGCTGATTTTTTGGAGAGTTATCTTTGATGGACACTTGGAAGAAAAAAAGGATACAGCAAACAAACCAGAAAACTGGTACAGCTATATGTACAGATCCTGAAAAGGACCCCATTTCATGTCACCTTCTACTCCCAGATGTATCAAGTTCTCTACTCAGACTTTTCAAACTGGGATATCACATCATTTTGGAATTTATTTTACCAAAAATTGATATTAAAATCTTTTTTTAAATCCCATATACACAGATCACATTGATTTGTAAGCTATGGTGATCATGCCCTAAATATATGAGTATGGAGTCCAAAAACTTCCAATCAAGACATGATTGGTGCTAAACACCCTAAGCACACCAAGGAAGCACCAGTCCTGAGAAACTGATTTGTTTGTTTCTCTCCAGCTAAGGGTCTGAGCTGAAAAGCACTAAATCTTCACAGGGAAAGTGTTTGGGACCCTTCTTAAAAAGAAATATATATATATATTAACAGCTATTTCTGCATCATGATCTGCATCCCATGGTTACTTTCCATGCATACACAGCAAGATGCCATTCACAGCCCCATGGGCTGAAAATAAGAGCAATAATGTCATGCAGACTTTGGAATTTATTACTACCATAAAAGAAGAAGAAACTTTAATACTTTGAAAAGCAAGTCATTACACCTCGTCTCCCAAACTCTACAACAGGTATCTGAAGAACTTTGTGATCCGCAGCCGTCTTAGGGAAAAAGCTTTTCGCTCCTATCCAAATCCTGAAGAAGATAAAGTCATTATGTGGGATGACTGGAATAATGATGCAAGGTTAACACTCGGACTTAAGTATTTCCAGACACATTTTCCCTGTTTGGCAGGAAACTTGTTTTGTAAGACCCAGAATTGTCCTAATATAACAGCATAGCAACTGCAACTTAAAACAGAACAAGTCGGTTAATGGACTGTTAGGAGACTTTTGCTGTATAACAGCATTTAGACGCATGTATTTAAAAAACAGGTGGATAATCCAAATGTTCAGTTACCAGGACACTAACAGTTATGTCCATGGCAATTTTGTTTCTGTTCTTTAAACAAATCATCACTTGCAAGCACTAATGTTAAAACCAGAAAGCCAGTCTAGTACACAGTGGCTATAAATGCCAAATCAATTTTCAGCAGATAATAAAGTCCATGTTTTACAATCAGCAATGCACTGTTTTACTACCCAAAATGTAAGCTAATAATATATAGCTCTGCTAAATGGAAAATGCAGATATGCTGTTAAGAAACGGGCTGGCTGTGAGATGATGGATCATTTCTGCTGGGACCTTCTTAAAGCTATGTGCAAATGTTTTGAAAATATCACATGATGTGGCCATGTGTTAAAAATTACAGCCAGTTAAGTTCTCTGCTAAGAAAAATATGTGGGCAATTTATGAAATGCACTCCAGGATGGAGATATCTTAAGTAAAACCAGATTTTGAAAACAAACCCATTTTTTTTTGAAACATGAACTTAAAAAAAAAAAAGTTGCAGCCACATCTGGAGAGCAGAAGTAAAGAAAGGGTGGTCTGACCTAATACCAGGCCATCTTCTGAAAGAGCAGCATTATTTCTGGGCTACAATGACTGTGATCACTGATTGTCCTTTTAAGGAAACCATGCTGAATACTGCCATGGGCAATAATAAAGCATTTTGTAGGCCAACATCTGTTCTTTGAAAGTACTATAAAATGACTGATAGATTTGTAATGTTTCATAAATAAAGTCTGGAATAAAGAGTTCTTTAAAAAAAACCACACCAAACCAAAACAAAAAAAAAATCCACAACAACAGCAACACAACACAACAAATTCACAGTAATCAGCCAAACCAGTGTACAGTATTAGATTTGAACACCGTTCCCCCAGCATCAATTATTTAGAGATAAGCACTTCCTAGAGTTCACTACGGAGAATGACAAAATGGTTAACTTGGTTACTGCAAGCTGCGTGTTAACGGGACTGACTTTCCCGAGACTTTTCTCAGAGTTGCAGTAGTGCCTTAACAGAGACCTGAATTGCTTTTAGAGCGTTTCATTAACAAGCCTCGCTGCTGTCGCTTTGCCCTGACAGGGACACGAGGAGGTGAGCGGCCAGTCGCAACTATAACAGTATGAGCAGTTCATCTTTGAAGGGCGAATTTATTTTGTGTAAAAGTGTTATCGCTACACATAAACCAGAACCCGTCTTTATTACTTCCTGTTCTTTCCCCAAAAGAAGAAGGACTTCAGATGTCAGAATTACTACAGGGATGCTTCTGAAATCAAGACTTCACACATACACAAAAGGCACTGACATAATATCAGATTACATAAAAATACACATCCTTTTAATCTCCTGTACATAATGTGCTTACTTTTAAAATACAAAATCTGCCCCAGATGGCTAATAATGCCCATTTGAAAAAACCCAACACCACAATATTAAAGGGCTAAAATATGCTGTGAACAGATTGAGAGGCAGTTCATCCTAGAGGAGAGTAAAAAAGTGCAGATGGGTGTCAAAAATAGCCAAGTGTCAGATCTGTTCAAGTATCTCCATTCTGGCACATGCTCCCAGTCACAGCTGTTAGTGTATTCTCTGTATCCAAGTGCAAGGTTTTCTAACACTCCGAGCTGACATTAAAACACACTTCTTGCTTGCTACTGCTTTAAGAGAATGCTGGAAATTAAAGATTTATTTAATGGTGAAGCTTAACGAGTATTGATAAGGGTATACGTACTCGAGTGTAGCGCATGCCATTTTGATTAAAGATGCATGAAATTTTAACCAGCAGGTAGATTAAGTAATTTAAATGCCAAAGGCTTAATAGGTTTTCAAAAACCTCCACTCTAGGCATTCCAACACTGTTTGCCAACAGCCCCAAATAATGCACACAAGGATCACAACTGATAAGATTGTGTCATTTCAGTACATTTAAATGTCTTAATAAAACACAGAAACAGTAAATCGCATGAGAAGATAAATTTCATACAAATATAAGGGAAATGTCAATGCATTCAAATTATGCAGAATGCACAGTTTTCCAAATTAATGAATTACCATGATATTTCTAATGAAGACCACATTCCCAGGAATGTAATGCATGCAAATCAAATTTGACGTTTAAAGGGTTAAATTGACCTTTCATAGTCCTCAGTTGTTATCTATGCAAATTAATTTGCCCATATTTCAACCATATAAATCCTCTTAGCCTTGTGCTTTGAGCAAACAGAGCCCACTTTCTTGTTACAACCAGAGGATGAGGAAACATACCAGCAGCAGGGTATGACCGTGTACAAAAATCCTAAAAGGAAAACATTCTTCCAACAACTGGCAATACCTACATGCAACTGTGGTTGCAGCAAACTGGCAGATACTGTTTCAAAACACCATCTGTGAGGTGTACAGACTCTCTGTGATCAAGCGTAGCCTCTTCTGCCTGTCCTACCCAAATAATCCACAAGAACCAGCCAGCTGTAGGATCTCTAGCCTTGTCTTTTTTTATCCAGAGACACAGCCTGCTATAATCAGGCACATGGCTTTCTTCAGTCCTTACCAAAGGAGGGGGAAAAAAAACCCAAACAAAACACACCAAATTCAATCCACTCGGTCGTGGTCAAGCATCTCACAAAACCCCTCAGACAAATCACCCTGCATAGAAGCACCGTTTTCATTGGCAATAACACTTATCAATTAGACAAGCGATCGTAAGATCCAAGGATAATATTTTCCTGAGGAAAGCAACCTATTAAAATTTCCAGCTCCACAGCAATTCCTCTAATTCAGCAGATTTTTTTATTGTTTTATTTTGAATCAACATATTTCAGCGATCTGCCTGGTGACAGTTAAGGACTACGATTTAGGACAACGCTGGAATAATTTGTTTCATAAATCTCCTTCACTTCTCTAACATAAACAGCTTTTCACAGAGATAATTTCAGCTGATGGGTGAACACTGTGAATGATCTCTACCGATCAAATGTTTGCAGATTCAAGGTACAGCTGACAGTCATGAAAGCCAGCCCGAAGCTGTATTTCTCTTCGCTAAAAATGATCCCCCGTGCAGAGACCCGCACCCACAAAGCCGGTGACTTTCTGCTATTTCTATCCCTTTACATTGAAACACCCAGTCCTGCTCTAAGTATCATCTCTGGCAGTTCCCTCACACAAATTCCCCTCCCCCAAACATATACACAACAGAATTAGCATCCACGATCGCTCCGTACCCGTATCAGCTTGCAAATCACTCTCTATATTAAAAGAGAAAAGGAAAAAAAAAAAAAGAGGAAAAAAAATACTATCAAAAAACAATTAGCGTTTCCTCATTTAAAACCGAAAGAGCTGCAATAATTTCAACTCACCAGGCATCCTTGGATAAAATATACCACACTGTAAATGGCTCTCTCCTAAAAGCAAGCTTATTTAGGGCTCAGTGCCTCCTGTTCTGGAATGAACAGAGAGAAGCGAGGAGGGCCATCAGAACTGGCTGTGGCAGCGTAGCTGGAGGCAGGATGCTGGGCGCGTGCGTTTGCCAGGCAAAGACAGATGGAGAGCTGACACTCTGTATTGCACTTGGAGCAGAAATGTGAATGATGACAGGAGCACATGTGGCCTTGAACCCAGCCCTGTCTCTTCAGGCAGAACAATGACAGGGATGTGTGTGCAAATTATCACAACCCCGGCTCCCCTCAGCTGACTCCTTTTACTCTACCTTTCACACCAAGTTCCAGATGACCAAAGAATAGAAAGTAAAATGCAGAGTGATAAGCCAAACACTGAATTATTCATTTTTTTCTTTAAAAGTTAACCCTTTCTTCTGCTGACAGCAATTAAAGAAAAAAGCATCGCCTCGCATCAGCTCTCCTCCAAAAGTGGAAACAAATTCATTCTTTATTTTAACAGCTATAATTTTGCACTCCATAGGACTACGTTTGTTTATTTAGCTGGAAATACAAAACGTGCACGAGGATATACGAGAGGGTCCCCCCTCCTCTTCCTCCCCTCCCCACACTTCTGTCATTATTATGCTGTTTTACTATAGTGAATGGAGTATCAAAATCACTCCCTTTCTCAGATTCTCAGTAGTATGTGTAAAATAGAACACACTTAGAAAGGAGACCACTTTTATTTTACTATAGTGCTTTTAACCCCCTGGGATTCCTGCATTGATATGTTCCAAACATTTGCAGCTTACTCTCCTTTACCTTGCATGGTGATCCATGGGGGATGAAAACAAAATCTTCCCTGTAAAGCTTTTTCAAAAGCTAAACAATCATGTCCTCCAGATTTCTGATTTTGCACACCCCTTAAATGTTTATCCTTCACATGAATAACGTATGCCTGGCTAGGTTCAACGCACTCTTCCCTATTAAGCTTTAATGGACACCATGATACATAAAACTACAAGTCTTTGTTATAGTGCTTTATCTAAAGCTGGCTATTTTCTTCTCAGCAGTCCCTCTTTAGTCCTTTGTAAAACATCTTTGCCTCTTCGGAGAAACATATGCCTGACTCCCATGCCTTCTGTAGCACGTATAGCCTTGCACAAAATTTCAGGCACAAGGAAAAATATCTTCTTTTTAAAACTCTCCTCCCATTCAGCACTCGCAAAAGCTTCTCCCTTTAGTAACGAGTATTCCTCCAACAATTAGCGTGTCGGTCCTGGGTTTGACTTTGCCTTTGCCATACGCATTTAAACCCACACGGAAAGGCAGCGATTCTCTGTCAGATCTTCAGGACCTGCATTCTTGTCAGTACAAGATTCATCCTTTTGTATTTATTTATGCATCCCCCCCGATTTTGCGTTGTGCCATCTTCTGCCTCTGCTACACAGAAACAACCCTGCTTTCAGGCCTTCCTCTTCCTTCCTCTAGCTGCCACCAAGCCCGATAAAGATCTATTTAGGAAAAGGACGCACATGCGAAATTAAGCAAAAAATAACCACCCTTCCAATATCCGGACTGAACTCATGAATATTTCTCACTTAAAGCAAATCAGTCACTTAATGTACTGATATTTCCACAATAATATCTTAACACTATTTCAGTGCCACCCTTAAGCTTCACTTAAATAGGAGAGTGACTCCAAACACAGGACTGGCAAATTCCAGACGAGCGAAGAAGCAAAGGCACAGCTCCCCTCGCCCCAGTGAACACCCTGGCGCTAGCAATATAACGCGTCTGCTACTTGAGGCAGGTCTCTTCTTCATCAGATATCTACTGTAATGAAGTTCTCTGTAATGGATTTTCGAATGTCGGAGAACCCAAGAGAAACACTGAAACATGAAAACATTTTCATGACAGACCACTTTTGTCAAGGGGGTGGAAAGCGGAGGGGGGAAAGGGAGAGAGTAACAAGCAAAGTCTGCACCGCTGAGGCCTTTGAAGAATTTACCATTCTTTTTGTTTTATTATTTGATGCACTATTTAAAACCAGTCAGTTAGTATTGTATTTGCTGTGTTGTTTTTCTTTTTTAATGCCGTACTCTACATGAAAGGAAAAACATTTTCACAGTTGGAAATGCAACCTTTCATCAACATAGATGCAGCCTGAATCAGCTTCAGAGTAGAAAGTAATGTGTCAAAGGTATGACGCATTTTAATAAAACCAAACAATATTCACTCTTAAAAGTAGGTCTTAATATCAGTACATTGTAAATCCACAGACCACGGCTCACGAAATTGAACTTCCATATGCTGTGTGATTATGCATCTTTTTTCTGTGTGTAAAAAGCCTTTTTAAGCTGTTATCTGACTACAGTAATTGCCATTTAAATTGATCCACGTCAACAAAACCTGGATCCCTGGAGATTCTCACCTAGAAGTCTGCTTGTGGAAGGGGCTAACAGAATGCCTGCGCATCTGAGACTACTTCAGCATTTTCTCAAGCAGCCAGCTGCATGAATAGTTTTTCCCTCTCATTATTTAATACACTGAGGCAGGCTGCAACCCATTTGGCAGTCCTCCCTGAATAAATATCTGTGGATATTTATTCGCTTTCCCCACCCCACCCCCACTTTTAATGCAGTCATTTAAAGCTTGCCCTCACAGTTTTTGCACCAGGTCCGAAATTTTAGCAGGCCAAGCAAAGGTGGACAGCCCATTCTGTAAAACGGTTTTATTCTCCACCAAGAAAGAAAAGGCAGTGGTTTTAACATAGGAACAATTCTGCTGTATCACAACAGTTGGTATTATGTGTAATACCAAAACAAAAGGGATACAAAGAGAGTGAAAACTCCAGAAGATAATATTTTGCCAGTTTCTTTACGTTATGGCAGACGTTACGCTACACCTTCCTTGGTGGGAATCAGTTCCTTCTTTGACAATCATTCAAAACACTTTACAAAGTAATTTTAAATAATCCTCTACAACTCTTCATTTTGAAAATGGGTAAAGAAGGCAAAACAGCCTCCGTATCCATATATTTTTAACAGGAAAAAAGAAGACTTTTATGCAGCGGATGAGATAAGGTCACAAAGACATGGATGTGATGGAAAAGAGAAATTCCGAATGACCACCACTTAGAAGTACAGAGATTGCCTTTTGCGCAAACCTTGCTTAATAACAGGGACTGGAAGTCCACTGAAACGCATCTGTAGTTAATGAAAGCTCTCTATTAACAGTGAAGGAAGAATTTAACTCAAAGCTTTTCTGTAGGACTTCTCAACTTCCCGCTCTACTTATAGCAGACTGTTGTGATACATTGTGACTTCACACAGTGGGTATTAAGTGAGTTAATTCAAAGGAGCTGAAACCTCATTGATCCTAATTGAAAGCAATACACCCAACCAAATAGTTTTCTACCCCATCTGCTCTGGCCTGCCACCAGCTATTCAATACAAGAGAATTAATAGTTTCAGATATTCTAACCGACCCAATAAAAGCACTCATTTAAGCAGGACTGCATTAACAAAGTGAAAAACCAAGGGCAAAATGGGTTCAAATGGAGCATTTTACTCCTAGTTGGCTTTAACAAAGCTGAATAATGCTTATTCTGACTTTTTATGTGCAAGACTTGATAAACTGAATGAGAAGGCACTCAATGATCAGTCAACGAGCATTGATGAATGGTCATTAGGACCCCCCCAATCTCAGGGAAGGCCATTCCACAAAGTGGCACACCAGCTTGAAAGGGCGGACTCACTAATGTCCAGATTTCCCCGCTTGCTTGTTCCACTTTCACTTTCAGACCACTGGCCACCAAATGAGGCTGACATATTGGAAAATAATCTTTTATGGGCGAATGGTAAATAAAAATGGAGGCATTAGCTGGGCTTTCAAATTCAAATCTGCTAGTTTTGTCAGCCCCCAAACGTTTTGATTTTCCACCCAGCTGGAAGCTATTAGTGTTTTCTTAAGGCATCCCACTGACAGGGCAAACCCACCTAATGTGTGAGCTGTAGAGCTGATGGGGGGTGACGGGGGGTGACCACTTCTGGATGCTTTCTGAACTTTATTCAGTTGATTGTCCAACCAAAGTACAGTAGTAAATGCAACACCTTCAGGAGAAGCTCACTAATTTCTTGTTGCCCCGTAATTCCTTTCACCTGGTGCAACAGTTGTCCACCTAGGATGGTAGTGGGTACCCTCAGTGCGACTTTTTCCATGACATTTTACCTAGCCTCCATTGCTTTTCCTGCACTACCACAAAAGGGCTCACGCTATTCAAGAAAGGCACTTCTATAAACTTCTAATTCTTTGCTTGGAAACGGAATTAAAATATTCCAATAAGATATGTGCTTATCTGTTAGCAGTAGCTCTTAATGCATGCAACACAAAACATTTGCCAGATAACACTAAACATTTCCCTAAGCATTTCCTTATTGGCAAGGCTTTCTGGACTTCTGAAAAAAGACAAATGGGACCCTTAAAACATACATAGCTCTGTGAAATGCAGACTAATGGAGATTACCTACACATATACTCAATAGTTGAAAGCTAGAGTCACCAAGCTGGAAAGAAAATATTCTTGGTTGTCTAAGAGAAACTGTTACTCGATTAAATTCATTGGAGGTGAGAAAGCATACATCTCTTTTTTCAGTTAAGAAAATGTAAAAGTCATACTATTACAGTAGGATAATCAGAAATAAGGCCTCTAAAGAGGATTTCAAATCATCTGTTAAGAAAAAGGCAACCTTGGCAGTGGGTCAGACGTGGCAACCTAGACTGGCTATTGCTTTTTGATCAAAAAAGAACACAAAAAAAATCACTCTTGTTGAACATTGCTAGAAATCCCAGTAACATTTCAGGTTTTAAAACAATGAAAATATACATAAAGACCTATCGTAGGAGAAGAACTTCCACCAAAAACTAATTGACTCAGAATGGAAGGGCTGACATAGGCTTCAGATTTTAAAGAACGCATGCTCTTATAGAGTAAAATGTGCGTTTTAGTAACAACACTCAGGGGGACTAACTCACATATATGTACCTGCTTTGGTGTCTATTTCTTTCACTTGATGTGGGCTAAACCAAGT